GGGTATTCACCCACGAAAGCTCATGCTCCAATACGTCTGTTAGTCTATAAGGTGCCACAGGACTCTCTGCTGCTTTTACAGATCCAGACTAACAAGGCTCCCCTTTGATACTGGATGGTGAGAGAGAACTATCAGGAAAGACTTTATCATTTGTTGTTTTAAAAAATGCTCCACAGATTCCAAGACCAGAATAGTGATCACCTAATCTGGCCTCCTGTATAATACCTGACAGATTTTTTTTCCCAAAAAAACATTTTTTCCCCAATACATTCTAGTGTTTATTAAATACAAGTAATGTAAGCATGAGTGGGAGAGAAGGAATCTCATCCTGAGTCTGTTGTGGCTTTGGCTGGGGAAGGTATTCTCAATAATTTATCCCACAAAGGCTCTCTCAACACTTGCAAGGTATAGATCAAGATGACGTGCATCTCCTAGAAGGCATTTACCCTTCTTTCTCAAGTGTTAGGAAAGAGACCTCATCTCTAAAAAGACTGTGCTGCACCAGGACTCTCTCTATTGGTGTCAAAAGGTCTTGCCTTTTAAGTGATGCATCAGAGGGAATGAGACTATATGGGAAAAACTCTGAGCATGACCCTGCAACTAGCTCTGCAGGGGTTTGAAGTCAGTGGTGCTTTGTGTGGAGAAATTTGCAAGGTCAGGGCTTATAATAAGGCTTGGAAGGATCAGATTTTTATTGGTAAATGTTGCTTTCACCATACTGGCACCAACCAAAAATATTTCCATTGATGATGATTGAAATTTACAGAGAAGCAAAGTAAGAAATGCTGCTTGAGAACTTAGTTTGATTTAAGAATATTTACTTTATAGATTTCTGACATGGGATGTTGACAATTTGTGTTATAGAGCTTTAATTTTGAGTCAACATCTGCCATTAAATAATTGCTGGCCCCCTTTCTTGTTTTCCCACCCCATAATTTCTCACAACTATGAAAATATAAATTGATATTGATTAGTTAAGCTTTATTATATGCTTAAATTGAAAATAAAATCTGCCAAGCCTACTTAGAATTGTACTTACTTTTATGTGTTTACTGCTGAAAGACAATTCAAGAAGACATTATTGGGTGAATTAGAACAAGTTAAATGTTAAAACCACTGTTCCAACACCATTATTTATAAAAATTTCAGTGAAAGGTGTTTTGATATAAATATTCTCTCGCCACACTTGTAATCCAACTACTGCAGCATTGTGATAGGGCATGAGAGCCAAGAAATGAAACAGGCTGGTCTAATTTCTCTGTCCATACAGGAAAAAAGCAGAGTGCAAACAAACTACATAAGTAATGGTAAAATAAGTCAAGGAAATCATTAGTTCTTCCCATTTGAATAGTAAGAGATGTTTTTAATAGCACAGGTAAGGATACGTAGCTTTTAAAAACGGTTAACCTGTCAGCATCTCTTTAAGAGGGACATTTTGCTTGTAGTGTTTAGGTGGCTAAGAAGGATTGTGAGAGTAAGGTTAGATATTTGAATTATCCATACACTCAGAGTAAATAAATGCACCACCTTATTCACAGAAAGCTATAAGCCTGTGGCATTATTTGCAGGACAAATACCTAATAATGCTGAAAACAGAACTACAAAAGACAAGCAGAAAGGACTACTGTAGAACTAGGTAAATAGCTGAAGTGAAGTCACTTGGTTTTCAAGCCTGATTTAATTTTGAGTTTTCCTATACTCTTGTGTTCTCCTCAATGACTTTCTGTTGGGTGTGATGGACTCAGGAGGAAGGCTCGAAACCAAAATGGTGCTAGACAACCCCAGAAGAAAGGTAAACAGAATACTGACTAGAGCTCCTAGGCACTACTGTAATAAAAAAAATTTAATGTACATAGTGCCCCTGCATCACATCCTTGAGGATGCCAAAACGCTCTGACATACTATCGGAAAATTCTCAAAAGTACATAAGGTTATCGAATTTCCATGAATCTTAGGCTCCTAAATCACTGAGCACTTTTGGAAAAATGTTATCCTTTATGTACAGAGCACCATTGAAAAGCAGCTGCCTCTGTAGCAAAGGGCTGAAGCCAGATGCATGGAAAACTGCACAGCTGTGGAATGAGAGGAAATTTTGCCCAATGACACTGGCCCAACAGGGGAAACCTATTCAATGTAGAGCAGAAAGCAGCTCAGGTTTTAATCTCAGCCCTCCTCAGAAAATAACTGGATGTTGTACAATTTATCTACCTTAGAAAGATCAAGAACCAAATCAGCTGTGCAGGGTTTTGAACCTAAAGTTCCAAGGAATTGAGACCCTTTTAAAGTGGCACTTACCACTACTAATTTCTCTCTACATTTGCCCTATAGCCTTGATTTTACATATAGTATGTTAGCTGTCTGCCAAATTAAATTAATACTGTCCAGTTTAAAAGGTAGAGATGGGGGAGGGGGGGGGAGTAAAGTAGCAGCAACTTCATACAATATATTTCACTTTTTAAATTATTTGAAGCCAGCTGTAGCAGGCAGCTGGTTATCTAAGGCAAATGGAGATTAAAACCCAGACTGATGCCTGGTAGCATTGTGCTCTATTAAAAGAAAGGCTTTTTAGCTTGGTTTACTGACTTGTGATGTTAAATATTCTATCAGACCTGTCTGTGTTTGGCAGGTGCATGCTATCCAGTAACAATGGTGGTTTTAACTGATTTTTTCCCATGTTCATTTACATTTGCTAATTGTCCTATTTTGATTTGACAACAGAAGTTGCAAATGGTGATAAATTACATTGTGACTTCGATTCCTCTTAAAGAAAAGCTTTCTCTCTCCTCCCCCCCCCCCAGTCCTCATCTACCTCCGCCATTGTTCATTGGGGCAGACTCTGAGGTCAGGCAATTGACATGCAGAAACAGCAGAGAATAAAATAGTTTTTTCATTCGTCTCAAAAAATTTGGGTCATGTTTGTAGATGTTCCTAAATCCCCAAGAACGCAGTAAGCGAGCGTCTGGACAAAAGTTTGAGGTCATTTTCTTATTGTCCAGATCCTTTGTTCTGGTTCATATTTAGGCATTTGCTCCTACGAAGTTTAATACATTTAGCATCACATTTCTGTTTACAACAACCTCTCAGTGAGAACATTTTTATTTAAATTTAAACCATGGATTTGTTTTTTACAATCCTATTCTTCAAATATGAATACCTCTGAAGTGAGTAAAGCCCTGTTGGTTACTGTATCGTTGCATTAAGCTGATACTTCAGTACCTGCCCAGAAGCTGTTCCAATCCAATTTTCATCTCTAGCTGTTGAATAAAACTATCTGTTAAAAGGTTGTAAAGCAGCAGTATTGTTTAAGCGAAGGTAAAAAAAAATATATTAAATGTATGGCTACTTGCCTCTGAACTTTTTGGTTTAGAACAGAGATTTCTAAACAAAAGAAGAGGCGCTGGGGCAAGGGAAGGGATAAGACACTAGGGCTGATTTTGTGGGTCGGGCTTATTATATTTGTTACCTCTGAGTAACTGCGGGAATGGTATGATTGTATGGTGGAGTTTGGCTAGGGTACCCACAGCTTTGATCAATAAAAAGGAGAAACTAGCCTTAACCTCTCGATCAATTAAGAGCCGGTAGAGCTGCAGCCTGGATCTGTTACATCCCGCTGCAGGCTGGTAGTAGGACAGCGCTGTATTTGTCTAATGCCCCCCCCAGTCAGTACTGCCCAGGGGAGAGCGGCTCTGCCCCGTGCCCGGGCCGCGGCCGAGGAGAGGTGCGGGCTCGGGGCATTGTTGTAGGCGGACCGGGGGGGGGATGCGGTCCAGCGAGGGCTCCATTGTGCGATCCGTAGCCACCGCCGCTTGCCAGCCCCGCAGCCGGGACCCGCATTGTTCTCGCGGGGCGGCAGCTGCCCGCATTGGGGGGGCGGTTTTGTGTCTCCCCCCCCCCGTCATCCTGTCACGAGCTGGGCCCGGCCGGCGTTAGCGGCCCCTATGGGGCGGGGGGGTTGCGTGCGGCGGCCCACAACGGGGGCTCCGCCGCGGCGCCTCGCGCTTACCTCTCCCGAGCAGGGCGGCGAGGGCGGCGGCCAGCAGGAGCGAGCGGCCGGCCATGGCCAGGCTGGGGCGGGCAGGAGGGCGGCGGGACCCCGGCGCGAGAGGCGGCTGCGGCGGCGGGGCTCCTCTCAGCCACCCGGCCAGGCGTCTGCCGTCAAGGCGAGGGGCGGGCGGGGGCGCGAGCGGCCGGGGCGGCGCAGCCTCCGCCGGGGAGGGCGGGAAGGGAGGCGGCGCGCGAGGAGCGGGGCCAGCCCCGAGGGGCGGGGGGGAGAAGGGAGGAGTGGGGGAGGGGCCGCATCTGGATGTATAAGGGGGACTCCAGGATGGGGGGAGGGGCGAGGTGCTGTAGCTGTATGTGTGTGGGGGGGGGTTCAGCACAGGGGATCCCCAAGGGGGCCGGATGGGGGCGGGGCTGGTCCAGGAGAAGGGGCCCCGTGCAAGGCGCCGGGGCCGATGCGGATCGCGGATGCGGGGATGCCTCCGGAGGGGGCAGCAGAGGAGGCGTCTGTCCGGCCGGCCGGTCCCCAGGGGTGAGCCCCGCTCCGCCCCGCCCTTTGCTTGCTCGCTCCGGGGGCTGCCGCGCTCACAGGCGGGACCAGGAGGTCCCATGGGTGCGGACTGGACCCCAGAGTAACAGCGCGTGACTTCAACTCGCTCAGCATGAGCGCGATGCTCCCGCTGATGAATCTAGCCAGGCCTCCTTGGGAAGGTCAGAGCAGCGTCTAGCGCTGCCAAGCCCAGAATGACATTTTTCTCTAGGCTGATCCTAGATTGCACTGGACGCCCCTGAAATGTCTAAAAGAGAGCTCGACATCCTTTGTCGCGAATGGTCACAAGATGGAAAAAAGATACTGAAGATGCAGGGTGACACAAAGGAAGGCAGCTTTTGTGATCCTGTAGCCTCCTTAGAGCAGATGCCTGCATACAAGGTGTACTTTTGCACCTGTCCGTTTGTACCCTAATTAGGTACCCACATCTGACAAGCAGGCTCCTCATCTCATGTAGTTTTTGGATAGATGGAACCACAAGTGTTCAAGGAAATGAAAGTGGGGAACAAACTCCTGCCCAAAAAATCTGCCCCGCCTCTCCACACACTTTCTCCTGGTACATGCCCAGATTTGTTTTGTGAATCCAAACACAAATAGGACCCAGCTTTGTTTTGTTTCAATGTGTGTAAGGGAGGAGGGGTGGCGGGATGCAGAACATATTGGTCATCAATCCCAAAATATGAACCTATGGGATGAGGCCCAGGATTTTCAAGGATAGGTCCAAAAGTCACCACTGCCCACCTAATGAAACTTGTTACTGAAAGCTGCTGAGCTCATCAAAGCAGATCCATACCATAACCAAGCCAAAGAAAATAAAGAGCCCACTCTCCCTTCACTATTCAGAATAAGAATAATGGTACAATGGGCTGCTGTACTTATATCAGTAGCAATGGTAGAGCAGGAAGTTTGGTCTCATTCTAATTTTAAAACAGTAGGTAGGAGTGCCTTGCAAAAATCAGCTATCTGAAATCTTGTCCCTTTGCAACGCTCATAAAGAAACTGTATAGAAGGAAGTATGAGTAGCCTAAAAGTCAGTGTGCATGGTTTGCATGTTAATGCATGTATGCTTTCTGACCCCCTCTGCCTGCTCCATGCAGCCCCTCTACATGACCCATTCCTGGTGCTTATCTGGGGTAGAGGACTGGAATGTGGATGCATGTCAATACTTCTCTTGCAGGGTGCTGTGACCAGTTGAGGGAGTAATTACTTCTCCACACTTGCCCTGTGTATTTGGTGATAGATGGTGTAATGAGTTCTAGGTATTGACACTGTCAAAATAAACACATGAAAACTGAAAACAAGAAATGAAAACCGATCATGAAAGTCTATCATGATTCTGTGCTATTTAGTTGAATTTGTTTAATTATGGTAAAAAGATTTAAAATAACTGTTATGATCCCTCAATGCAGAGATCAGTTCTGTGGGAAGCCAGAGCTGTCTTGCTGGTTTGCTGTTCTTTGCACAGCAGTCCGTGCATTCATACTGTCTGTCAGGGACTCTGTGTTGTGTGTTCTGCAGCTTTTGGGTTTGCTTGAGTGTGCAGCCCAGGAACATATTTAAATAATTGTTCTGGGCACAGAATCTCTCCTTTATTTAAAGGCCAGTCACATGGCTACAGCTAGAATTTGAGTGGGATGTTAATGGAGCAAGTCTGTAAACAAAAATTCGGATACACTTTTAGTGTGTGGCACAGTGCAGCCACAAAGGGGCGATTTCAGTTGTGTTGGAACTTCAACCTTTATTCTGTGTTCCTTGGCTTTGGGGTGCATTTGTACTACACGAGCTCTGGGGGAGGCCTAGTCATGGAGCAGGACCCACTGTGTTAGGAGCTGTACAAATATAGAACAAAAAACCTAGTCCTTTTCCCAAGAAGCTTACAATCTAAATACAATATGAGCCAATGGGAAACAATGAGACAGTACAGGTCTGCATGATAGGCAGTAGAATCAGCGCACCAACAGCCTAACCCATTGGCAAGTTTTTGGTAGGCATCACGGCAAAGGAGAGGAAGGATTTAAAGGTGGATAATGTTCACAAGCTTTGTTGTAGGTTCAATCCTACAACGAGTGTCTTCTTTACTGGTGTTGTAGCATAGCTTGTTGAGAGCTGAATGGATGAAACTGGTTTGAATGAAAAGGAGCTCTCCACTCCCCTGTAAAAGTGGGTTGAGAGGTATGGCTGGGGCAGCATGTGGAATCTTGCTCTACCACTGCCCTTAGCCTAGAGAGGATTGCAGGTTCTGTGGCTGTCAAAGCAGCACCTTTTATGAGCGCTAAATTCACATGGAAAAAACATTATAAAGAAATGCTGCTGAGGCAGCTGTAACCAAGTGTATATTTCGTTAAGTAAATGTGATGCAGTGAAACATGCATTCTGTTACAGTTGCACACTCTTCTCTACTGCTGTAGCAGAGTGGAAAGAATCACAGTGACGCTAATGTGGAGAGAGAAGGAAGCAGGGAGGAAACCACAGAATACCGAGTAGCCACTGTAAAGAAAATACAATTCAGCTGCTGCACAGAGCCGCATATGCCCTGAATCTCTGCCTCATTTTCTTTCATCTCTCCCCTTTATGGAAAAAAGGGGGGGAAATTTTTTTTTTCCCCAAGACAACAATCCCACTTCACGTCACACTAACTGAAACTAACAGAGCAACATTTGTATTGCCACAGTCTGGTTCCCCAATAACCTCTCCCTATACTATTTGCATTTCAATAGACCTCCAAGCTTCCAGTAATTGTTGTGGAGGGTAAAAAGGCTATTATATTAGAGTTACATCAGCTTTTGCAAGTCTGAGAAGATAACAGTAACATTGATAGCAGCTGACCTGAGTCATGACAGCATATTGTTTGCAGTTCTGTATGAGTCTGGGGTTTGCACCATTGTTTGTGAATTGATTCATAATTATGACAAAATAAATGAATTTAGCAGTTTAATTGATGGGAAACACAGAAGCAATGCAATGATGCATTGTGGGGCCAGAATGGAACAGAGCAATGCAATCAAGTCTACTGAGCTACCTAAAGAACACTATGAAATCAGATGGTACATTGCTTGAATAACCACTTCAGTAGAGACCCAAAGACTGTCTTTTATGGATCAGAGGGACTCCTTCCCTGGGAAATGTCATTACTGTGAACTAAAAGTTACAGAATTGTAAGAGTAGATTTTTCTCTCCTAGTACTGTGTTCTGATGGACACAATTCTAACTCCTGAAGATGGAATTTAAATGTCCACGCCAAAGCTCATCAGAGTCAATTGGAGTCTTCAGTGAGCTTTGGATCAGGCTCTATGTGACATGAAGAGTAGAGCAGTAACACATGACTTGATTAGCATGAGTACTGGATACTCACAGGCTGAAACTATCTCGGGATGTGCCCACATCACAAGAGTATGAATCGTGTGTAGTGGCTCTGGCCTCATTCAGTTTTTCCATTCTGTGATATTTTTGTTTGCAATTTTCCAAGTACAATCCAGTAACTGTTGAAGAGGTGGAGACAACAGTTTCTCTTTATTTCTCTCTGCGAAGACATTAAAAATATAATTGTGGAGTGAGCTGAGCAGTGATGAGGGGGAAATTTTCAAAGGCACAGATAGGAGTTAGGAGTCCAACTGCCCTTTGTGGCTTTGAGAATCTTCCCCTTAGAGCCTAGCACATTTTTGGCTGCTTGGAAAATAATCAGGAACATGTTGATCTCTTAGGATATGTTTGGCATCCTTATTAGACCAAACAGGCTATTTCCATTTTCTCCCTGGGCTCATTTATATAATAATAATAATAATAATAATAAAATCAGTTGCACTTTTAGAATCTTTCATCCCTGGATTCCAGAGCATGTTAAATGATGGACATGTGTAAGCATCATTTGAGCCACCCCCGAAAGACAGGAGAATGAGCTGCTGTGTGACAGTGCACGGCATCACTATGCAACTCATTAGAATAGGAAGTGAAGTATATTTGTAGAAAATGCTGGGTGATTTTTAGTAGAGGGGGTAGGACAGGATCACACGCAGCCTATGGTCACTAGATATTTTCCTCCTCCCCAGAAATTCTTTCTTGCCCTAGACACAATATCCCCAACCCCAAACTTCCAAATCTCATGATTTTTGGAGCCTGATTCATATTTAAACAAGACTAGTGTGTTGTTTTTTTCTTTTTAAAAATTTCCCTTCTGATGTTGGAACACGGGGAGGGGGGGGCACATTTTCAAGGTTTTTCTCTACAACTGTGAGGGCTAGGAAATTAATTTAAATCCGCCTCAGAAAACCAGAGATTCTTGGATTATTATGACTGCAGGAGCTGAGGCTTTGGAGAAAGCACCCTTTATTGTCAGACTCACGATAAAATTGCGAGCAGTGGCAGCACTGTTAAGATAGCCATCAAGGTATGCCACACCCAAGGGCTGTGTTGGAGTCATGTAACTCAGATATTGCCTGCCTCTCCTGTGGTCATGGGACAACGGAGAAGAAAGTAGTAAACTTCCCTGGGTCCTCTGGCAGCAGTGGCCAGTCAGCAGGACGCAGCTGTCCTGCCTGCTGTGCAGTGATTCATTGCTAAACAGGACTCAGGATAGAAAAGATCCTGCCTTAGGGTATGTCTACACTACAGGATTAATCCGAATTTAGAT